TGTGATTTGTAATTGCTTACAGGGATTGCCCAAGCATCCTTTAATAAATCCTAGTATCAGGTACCTATATAATCAACCAGAACTATGTATGTAACAAAATCAAAATGAGAAAAATCATGACAGTAACAGGACGTGATGCTGCCGTGTAAGAAGTACCTGAAGCAATCAGCTGGCTGGCTTTTCTGGATGTCCTTAGCAGCATCCACTCCAAGCACAGGCGATTGCTTAGCTGAGCGGTTAGGGGTACAGGCTCTAGGTTTGAGCTGCCTGGGTTCAAGCCTCACTATTGTCCTTTACCAGCTCTGTGTCCATGTGTAAATGAGCCCATCTCACTAAGTCTCTCAACTCATCTATAAAATACAAATCCTTCCAGCCTCTTAGGTGTGTTTTGGGAGGCTGGACTGCCGTGAGGCACTAACACACTCCCAGCACTCAGTAAATGTAAACGTTGAAACACTTCCCATTCACAGCCTAGTTTTCTTGGCTTTACGGATTCCCGTTTAATCTTATTATGGGGCTGATTGGGCTCAGATGAAACTTTCAGTTTAACCAAACTTACAAGACGCCAAGAAACCATAGAAATTCATAAGAGCAGAAAGTGGTTTTCTGGTGTTTACGCATTCATTTGTTACACCAGGCATCCCTTCCTCAGAAGCAAAATTAAAAACAAAGTAAAATGAAACAAAAAACTCTGAGATGCTGTTTGGGCTAAGGGTGTAGAATACAAGCAAAGGGCAGGGCTGCTGGGCCGATTTCTAGACTAATTCTCATTGAACCACCTTGGTGGGATCAGAATTCCCCCCGGCCTCCAGATCTTTCACACTAGCTCTAAGCAGGGGTAGCGGTCACCTTGTTCCCCATTTCCTGACCACCCAGCAGCTACTTAGTAAGCAGCTACTCATTAAATAAATGAATTTCTAGGGCAGAGCCAAGTTTCAGAGCAACAGATCCTGTTCCTTTCCCCTCCCTTTCTGTATTCCAGGGAGGACACTATGCATTGGGTCGAAGCCTTTCTTAGGTTTGTCATGTTCTATTCTCCTGGACGGAGCCTGTTGATGAACTGTGGGAAATGCCCCGTTCTTACCAGTAATGTTTACAAATCTAGCGTGCCCCTTCCGTTTGCTACTGACACTCCGCGAAATTGGCAGGCCACGACAAGCCGCCAGCATGACAAGGGTGCTGTGTGCCCCAGTGTGCCCCAGGGCGGGTCTCTCTCTCTTTTGCCCAGGGCATTTTGTAGCTCCGCTCCTCCGGACAGAGGCCAATAAATAGCACATCTTCCTCTGGGAAAAAGGGATTCTCCTTTTAAAATGTTTTTGCTTTGTTTCAAACTCCGCTCAGTTTTGCATTGCCCTAACAGTTTTAGTTTTCTGCTTCTCTAAGTGGACGAGTTGGCCGAGGTTGTAAGGCTCCACGTGGGCTTGGCTTGATTCGCTCATCCAGACCAAAAACAAGGGCAAGTCTGGCTCCCTCTTCCTATTGAAAACTCTAGGGAGTCTTTTTCATGGGCCGGCAGGCTGAGGACAGCCTGGGCGATGGGCGCCTGGGTTAGCCTAGTGAGGAGGGAACAGCCGTTGGAGTTCCTGCCTGGCGTGCATTCAGCAGAACCCCTAAACTGTTCCCCAAACTGGCTCTAACTTGCATCTCTTGGATTAACTCCCTAATCACTTTCCTCCCCACCCCAACTCACAACAGGAAAAGAACTGAAAACCCCACAGAGAGCTTGAAGTCTCCATAAAAAGATACTTAAGGCAAATCTCATCTTACCATTGGCTGCAGATGTGCCGGGGGTACCCCAGCCATTTGACTCTTCCGGCCCAAGGCTCCCGCTGAAGAGTCCTTGAGAGGTCCTGGGGTGGAGGGAGGGCAGGGCATAGCCCGAGAGTTCCACAAGGGTGCTACTGGCATCTGAGTGCTCTCTGCCTCCTCGCCCTCCCCCGGAATACCTCCACAAGTTACAACCTGGCATGCTGGCTCTCAGAAGCCAGAAATATGACAAGTATTCCGATAAGCCCCTGGAATTTAGAGTACAGGTTCATCGCCACGTTGGTGCAGGGCGCCCTTAAAGCCAGGTGTGCCCCTCTTCAAAGTGTGAGTGGTTCAGGTCCTGCACTAGGGCTATCACAGGCACTGGGAGATGCTTAACACCTATTTGTGAAACGAATTAATGAATCCTGTTTGAATGCGCTGTGACAATTTCATTCCTAGAGAAGGCGTAGGGTGAGTAATTCATGTAAAGGAGATTATGCATCTTTAGGAACTTTAGGTTTCCATGTTGAAGAGGCTTCAAATCAGGCTAGCCTTTACTTTCAAGTTCGATCTTCTTTCTTTATGGCATAATAGTGTAGTCAAGGAGCCTGAGGTTTGGAGTCAGACCCGTTTTCGAATCCCAGTCCTTATTCTGAGATAATAGTGTATAATTTACAGGCTTTGCGAAGATTAAATAAAATAGCTGGTGACATTCCTCTTGTGCGGTGGGGGATGGGAATGCAAGGGAGGTGAGGGCCTTCCTGCTGGCAGAGCCTCCAGCACCATGCCAACGCTTGGGATCTTTAAAATTCCCTGGTAGGGTCAATGGCATGCTGCTCATTTCACAAAAACAGAGAGGGGGGAACAGTTTCCTTCTATTTGGACACATCTGGTCTTAGTATTCCCCTGCCTGGTCACTTTTTAAAAAAAAAATTATTTGTATTACTACGTGTTTGCAATACGTAATGCTTACATTGATCATGGGAAGTTAGTACATGTATATAACATATCTTAATCCTTTTTATCTCCTTTTTCCCTCTTTTCCTTCTTACTTCCCCCACCTCTTGATCCCCTTCCCATTTGCATTTTTAAAATGTGCTTTTCTATATTGAAGGCTGTTTAGAATCTTATACACCTGGGTAAGGGATAGGCCTCTCTCAGGAGGCCTACTAGCAGACCTGACCTCTATTAAATGCCTTAAATGCAACAAAAGCTCTTAGTAACTCATGAAGATCACAGGGCCTCCGAAACTGGCAAGAATTTCAGGGAAATCACAGGGAAATTTGTTTGCTGCATGATTAATCCTGAGTCCTGGAAAAAAGCACACATGGTTTGCAGAAAGTGGCAGCTTGCAGAATTGCACAAAATAAACTCACAGGCAGGCCTTGAGGTATGAGAGTTCATTCAGGGCGAGGGTGGGGTCTGACAGTTGAGGAAAATGCCAGATGCGGGGACAACAGCCCTCCTTTGAATCAACTGACACCCAAAGACAGGACACCAGGGGCCAGAATATAAAACCCAGTCAGATTATAGCACTAGGAGAGGGAAAACCAGGAGGGCGCTGGATCCTAGGAGAAGGATAATAAAATTCATCACTATAATTGCCCCCCAGCCTGGCTTCCTGGCAGGAGCCAACAAAAGCTCGGCTCAAAGAAGTTATTCATCCATATTCAACTTGCCTCACTCATTATTCTCAGACAAAAACCCTACTGGGTCTCAGCTCTCGGCTGGGAGCAGCCCCCCTTGCAGCCTGCTTGCCCCCACCCGGCTGGCCGCCCCCGGGCAGCCTTCTGTCTTTAGCATCAGCGCTCGCAGTCCAGATTGCACACTTCCTTTTCCAAGTAACTTTGACTTTCAGGATGGAGTGGAAGGTAATTAAAGCTAGCGTTCGCCGTGGGGAAGACAAAGGGCGCCGCCCGGCCGCTGTCCTTCCTGGAATGTGGCTCAGGTAGGGGCCTTCCCCACCTTGCAGGGGTGAGCACCGAACGGTGTCATGTGCACAGTGTCTCGCCAAAACGGAAATGGAACTGAAACCCTGAACTTAAAAGAGAAGTTCCAAAGATAGGACTGCCTGCTGGGAATAGCTAGAGGCCCCTGTCAAAGAGACTCTGTCAGACTTTGAGGAACTCTCCGTATAATTACCCTAAGGCTAAGGGTTCTTATCTGCAATGAATTAAAGAAGCCTAGATTAGCTCCGCCCCTCCTGCAAACTCCTGAGCAGGAGTCTTCTGGGCCTGGGTTGACCTGGGCCCCTAAGATTTTTTACCTTTGAGCACAGCTCAGCAACCTCCAGCCCCAAAGACTGCTAGCTGACTTACAATCTCTTCCACCAGCATTTAGTGAGCAACTACTACCATCAGGTGTTGTTTCAGCCCTGCGGGGTCAAGGCTAGGTGTATCTGGGCCTGTAGGGCTTATATTCCACTGGAAGCATACAAATAATGCAGGAAAAGAAATAAAATATTCCCAATTGTTCGTAGAGACCACCCACCACGACTGGGCAGACAGGCAAGAGATGAGGGACAAAGCAGAGGACCCAGGGGAAAGGAAGGCGTAGGTAGTGGCCTCATCACCGGATGGAGTCTGCGGAAGGTCTGAGGAGTCACACGCACACACAAGTTCAGTCACTGATATTGGCTAAGTTCAACACAGGGTCCCCAGCCCGTGTGAAGCTAAGCCTCCATAAAGATCCACCAGGTCTGCGGTATAGCTCAGTGGTGGGGAATCCTCTAGCTCGATGGAGGCTCTAGGTACCACGCCAAGCACCGGAACGTCTCAAAGGAAGACAGACAGACAGATGCACATAAGTCTCCGTGCACAGGACCAGCTCAAAGCCTTCCCACACTCTATCCTCCCTCTCCCTCTGCCAGCCCGTGCCGGGGATGGGATCCTCAGTGTGTCCAAGCTGGCGCAGAGGAGAGATCCATGCCACTGGCTCGGGGAAACTGCCTCCTGCCCCCGCCCGCCTGACGTCTCTCGGATCTCGGTTATCCTACCCTCATCCCCCCTGAGCCGCTCCTCGCACTCAGGGGCTGCTCCCGCCGCACCCACGCTGCTGTTACTTTGGGAGCCGGCGCTGGCGGAGCGGCTGGCTCTTCCCCGCCTCCTCCGGGCGCGCGCCCCCTCCCAGCTCCCCGGCGCTCTCCTGGGTAACTTCAGATCCAAGCCGGGGCGGTCCAGCAAGTCTCGGCTCGCCGGCTGGCGGGTCCCCTCCAGCAACCGCAGGCGCCACCCGAGAGCGCGGGCGCTTACCTGGCAGTGCCGGGACCCAGAGCGACGCGCCGCCCAAGATCCACAGCAGCACCGGCGCCGTCCACATCTTTCCGGCCGGCTAGTTCTCCGCGGGGCCCGCAGCTAGCTCTTGGGGCGCCGATGAGAAGCTCCGCGGCTACAGGCCCAGCCCCGGGACGCGACTCCGGGCAGGAACGCAGCGCGCGGGAGCGGGAGCGGGAGCGGCGCCCAGCTGCACCGCCCGAAGCGCACTGCACGGCGAGCAAACTCCGCAGCGGCCACCCGAGCGGACTCCGCATTTATCCCCGCGACGGGGCGGGAGCTGTGGGTGTGGGGTGGTCTCAGCACCCCCCCTGCCCCCGCCGCTGGGCCCGCCCCCGGGCTCCGTTTGGCCCGCGCCACAACGATGATCTCAGGCCAGGTTTAAAGTTACAGGGCTGCAGATGCGCGGCTCAGCCCCTGGCAGAAGTGGGCTTTGTATTAGCAAGGAACGGGAAAGGGCCACGGGCAACAAGTGGGGTTCCTTTTAAATTTTTGTTTATCTGTATTTTTACCCCTCTTCACATTCGGTTTTTTAGCCTACATTTTTCTTGTTTGAGGCAGAAGTGAGAAGTAAACTGTTCCTTGTGTGGTCACTAGTGGGATTGTTCTTTTGTAAATATTGAATCTGATGTCTTAAGCGGGGGGAAAAGAAAGGTTGGCTGTCACGCAGGAGACGGACAGGCGGCTGTGCTAGTCAATTGCACCCTTGTCCAGGGGACCCGGCTGCAGGCTCCCGGCTGCTCCAGATCTGGGGCGGGGCGGGGGGGGGCGGGGCGGGGGGGGGCGGCCACTCGGTGGCTTTGGCAGCGTTGAACAAAGGCTGAGCTCCGCGCCCCCCCCCACCGGCCCCCCACCCGCCGCATTGGGGAATAAAGTTAGGGAGCTGCTGCCTGGCCTACGTGAGCAGAGGGATCAGGCCAGGCCAGGGGTCACTCCCTGTACCTGGTCACTCACCTGTGCCCACTCCTCCCTCTTAATCCGGGGGTTTGACCTCATAATTCCCACTTTATTGGTTTAAGCAATCTTTCCTGATCTCCGAAACTGGAGATCAGCAAAACAAGAGAACTTTTTTTTTCCTTCTAAATTTTTTGAATTAAGAAACCATTTTGAGAGGTGTGTGAGAGCAGGATTTTGAGAAGTGGTTTCAGCTCCATGCCCAGAGGACACAAATTGCACTCTACAAAAGGACCTGCAGATGAGTCTCCAAGGCCACACTGGCTTTCAGAACTTCTTTTTTTTTTTTTTTTTTTTTTTTCCTGAGACAGGGTCTGTCTGTGTATTTCAGGCTGGCCTTGAACCTACTATGTAGCCTAGACAGGCTTCAAACTCAAGGTGATCCTCCTGCCTCAGCCTCCTGAGTGGTGGGATTACAGGTGTGTGCCACCATGGCAGTCTTAGAACTTTATCTTTGACTTTGATTCACAAATTCCTCTGTCACAAGAATCCCATAGAGACAGGCCCTGGAAGACCAGAGGGAAGGAGTCCCTTTCTTCGATATGAGAATAGCAGGTGGGAGAGGGATGCTGGTCTTGGGCAGTGGGGTCCAGGAGGGACAAAAGCCGGTGGTCAGACCAGCGTTGTGACAAGGGACACGGGGATTTGGAAGCCTCAGTGGGGAGGAGTATGTGCCGCAAGATTTCTCTCCATTCTTGAGAAACAATGTGAAGGGTCTGGACGGTGAGGCAGAGATGGGATGATGTCACTGCCTCAGCTGCTTGTTGACTTTGTCTGGTTCCTGGAACGTGCCCTATCTCACTTAATCCTCAAACAAACCTTTGGTTAGGAACATAACTCTCAAGGGGACTGCTGTGCTGCTGACTCAGAGCCCCCCCAGTGCAGGCAGATTGCTCCACCCCATTCCCCAAATTTCTCATTAGGGATGGGGCCTGAGAATCTGTTTTCCTTGGGGTGATGATGATGGTGGTGATGATGACGATGACAGTGATGATCTTGGGACCCCACTCTGAGAACCGCTGTTCAGAGGACACCACGAGAATTGTCCCGGTCCTACAGCAAATCAGGGGTAAAGCCATGGTGTCCATTTACTGGGGATCAGCTTGGGGCCTGCTGCCAATGTGCTGCTGTGCATAGGGATCTGGTAGGGGAGGTCTGTGTGTTGTTTGCAGGGAGCAGAGGGCTTCTAAGGGGGACCTGGCTATGGAATGAGGAGTTGCCAGAGTGTCCCCCAGGGGCCCTACATTTCGGGGGAAGCTGGAGATGATGTTGGGGGTCCTCATACTCCCTGAGTTATTTGAGCTCTACACAGTCCAGAGGGGATTTGATAAGACTGACCATCAAAAACTTAGATAAAGATTTATATTAAATTTTAAGCCACACTTTTTTTTGTTGTACTGGGGATTAAATGTAGGGTCTTTGCATTCAGCAACATCCCTAGCAATTAATTAATTAATTTTATTTTAAGACAAGGTCTTTCTACATTGCCCAGGCTGGGTTTGAATGAACTTTTTTTTTTTTTTTTTTTAACTTAAAAGGGTAAAAGAAGGATAACATAGTAATAGGGGGATTTACTGAATTACAGACAAAGTGGTAGGACAATATCAATGTTGAATGAATTTTTAATGCCCTTGCCTCAGCCTCCCAGAGCGCTGGGATTGTAAGCATGTGCCACCACATGCCAGCTAACCCGTACATCGTTACACCAGCTAATCCTTACATCTTGATATTTTTGATACAGGACCTGGAAACTTTCTAGGTATACTTCAGAGAATCGCTATCACCAACAAATATTCTTTCTTAGAAGTATGTGTGATTATTAATTCTTCATTATAAAGATAGGCATTTATTAAGGAAGATATATAGAAAACAGGATAATTAAAGAAATTAGCATATACCTAGAATCCCTTGTGTGTTTATCTGGAACTTTTGTTTTGTTTTCTGTCTTTTTTGTTTTGTGGTGCTGGAAGTTGAATCCAAGACCTGGTGCGTGCTAGGCAAGTACTGGGCCTCTGAACTATATCCTAGCCCCTTGATGTTCTCTTTTGACATAATTTCAGATTTATAGTTTGCCTACCAAGTGCAAGGCCCTGAATTCCATCTCCAGCACCACAGAAGAACAAAAAGAAGGAGGAGAAAGAGGAAAAGGAGAAAGAAAGGAGGAAGAGGAGAAGAAGAAGGAGAGAGAGAGAAGGAAGGAGGGAGGGAGGGAGAGAGAGAAAATCGGAAGAATAACTCAAGAACTCCGAATATGTTTTATTTCCCCTTATTTGCTCCATCCTCTCACTGCATTTATGCCCACTGTGTATGCTGGCTTCATTCTGAATCACTAGGACAGCCTTGGAGATAGTAAGTCCTCCATCTGAAATACTTGGGTGTGAATTTCCAAGATCAGCTATTCTTTTTCACAATACATCAGGATTATCAAAGGCAGGAAATTCAATACTCAAAGGTTACTACTGGCTAAGGGCATAGCTATGTGTCAGAGCACTTGCCTAGCACTCAGGAGGCCCTGCTTTTCATCCCCATGACAAACAGAAAACATTACTACAGTGTAAGCCAGGCACATGATGTGCGGGTTCTGCTGCTGGAGGTGGAGGACCTCATGATCTCTGGAGCCCAGGAATGTGAGAATTTGAAACCAGCCTCTGTAATATAGCAAGACCCCTCCCCATATACATAACATATAATGTTTAATATAATAGGTATAATAACACATAATATCTGTTATATGTCCAGGCGTAGTGGCACATCCCTGTCATTCCAGCTACCCAGGAGGCTAAGGTAGAAGGATTACAGGTTCAAGGATAACTTGGGCAACTTAGTGACACCCTGTCTCAAAAATTTTTTTAAAGGGTTGGGGTTGTAGCCCGGTGGTAGAGTGTTTACCTAGCATGCAGGAAGACCTACCTTGGTTCAATTCTAGCACTTAAAAAATACATACTTACATTTTTTAAATTAATAAATGAAGTAAACATTGCTGTTATCTGGTCCTTAGTCCACCCTCAAGTGTCAATGATTGCTGCAGTAATGTCCTCAGAGATTACTTTTTAAGGCTCTAATCAAGGACTGCCCATCGTGTCCCACTGTTATGTTTCCAGACCATACAGGACACAGAAGCCATTCTTCGTCTTTCGCCAGCTTGACACTTTCTGAAAGGTGCAGCCTTGTTAGCTGAGGAATGCCTTGCAGCTGACTTTGATGTCGCCCTGGGATCAGATTGAGGGTGAACTCCTGGCTGGATGACACAGGAGTGGGGTCGTGCCAGTCCCTGATCCTGGGGAGCATCACTTTTAGCCCTTCGAATTCCAAGCACAGCTACACTGGCCAGCCTCTGCCCTTAACAGCGGCCGTCTCACGTTGGAGAGACAGTGTCGCAGACTGGCTAGCATCTTGGGACTGCAGGCTTTTGCTACTCTTTTTTGCAGTGCTAGAGATCAAACCCAGGACCCTGTGCATGATAGGCAAGCACTCTACCACTGAGCTATACCCCAGCCCCCCCAAAACTTATTTTCATCTCAGAAAATGCTCCAGAATAACATTTGGCATGGGTAGGAATCGGCCTTTCAGCCGTCAGTGGGAGAAGGGTCGCTGTGGAGGAATGGTGAGAGAAGCAACCCTGGAGTACTGAGGCTTGGAAATGGATTCTCATGAAGCCATCCTGCTGGCAGTGCCCTGGGGAAATAGGGCTGCCTCTGTCATTTGAAGATCCCTGCCCTGTCCTAAGTTGGGCTGGATCTCCTCTCAGCATAAACTCTGCCACACCCCATCCTGCAGTAGTTAAAAGATTAAGCCCAGTGTGTCCCCAGGTGTGGTGTCTCCTCCTCCCTTTGAGGAGATTGGGAGCTGCCTGAAATCAGGGCTCTAGCTCATTCAGACATTCATATATTTCATTTCATAATATGTAGGCAGGAAGTGCAATACTGCATTAGCCTCTGCTCTGCTCCATAGATGTTAGTAAGAGGAAAGCTTGTGATTTTCTCCTTTGGAATGGCATCACCATAAAGGAACTTCAGCAGACCAGAGTTTGAGTCAGGAACATGTGATGTACAATCAGCCAGCCCAACTAGGTGAAGATAAAACCAGGAGGTGATTCCTGTGGCTTCCAGGAAAGGCCTGCTGATACATCTATGAATCTTGGTGCTTTCCCAATCTCCTGTAAACTAGCTGAGGAAATCCACTCCAAAGAAGTTCATTCCTGAGCTTAAAGATTTGATCCTTTTGCTCTGGTATGTGTGTGATGTGTGTGATATGCGTGGCGGGGGGCGGGGAGCACTGAGCCATATCTCCAGACCTTTTAAAATTTCATTTTCAGACATGGTCTCAATAAGTTGCCCAGATTGGTCTCAAACTTGTGATTTTCCTGTCTCTTTCTGTTTTAACATTCAGATCTTTGACCCATTTTGATTTTAGTTTAGTAGTGGTGAGGGAGATGGATCTAGATTCTATCTTCTGCATGTGGTTAGCCAATTTTCCCAGCACCATTTG